GGCATCGCTATTGATAGTTGCACCCCAAGGATTCCCTCAGCCCATGGCGCCCTCCCCGTGTCCCTTCCCTCCCGCCTCCATTTAGCCTTAAATATGCCGCCGAAGAGGCTGCCTGACTGCTGTGCTTGGTGCTGCAGAATACATAGAGCCGCCCCTGGTGAGTGCCCTAAGTGTATGGAAGCTTGACCCAGTGAAGGGGCTGACCCAAAAAGGACACAACTCAACCATGAGCAAAGTTAAGTCTTTGCAGCAGAAATTTTAAACTTTACATTTAAAACAAAGCTCTAGTATAGGGAATAGTCCTACACTGGTACCCCAACCAGCTGAGAGTAGCATTTTTTCCCATCTCTTAATTTCTGTGATTCTAAGAGCAGTAGGAGCAGAGAGAGAGCAGAATAAGTGTCTAAAGGCTGCTCTATCATACAAAGTCAACCTAACTAGGTCATGCAGCCCTGTGAAAAAATTCACACCCTCTGCAATGTAGGTAAGCAAACGTAAGCCCCTGCAAAGATGCCGCTAGATCAATGGAAGCATTCTTCTGGATTTACCAGACAAACCCCTTCCATAGTGTAGTACATATCTACAGGCAATATCAGTGCAAGTGCAGCTGTAACATTTCTACTATTGCAGTGGTTCTCAAACATTTTGTATTGGTGACCTCTTTCACACAGCAAGCCTCTAAGTGTGACCCCCTCCTTATAAATTAAATTCAGGTTTTTAATGTAATTTAATTTTAATTTAACGGGGTTGGGGCTGACAGCTCCCTGTGCATGGCTGGGCTGGGGGCTATCAGTCCCTGACCCCTACATAACCACCTCATGGCCCCCTGTTTATCAACCCCTGCACTGTAGCCATCCCTTCACAGTGAGAATGAAAAGGTTTAACTTACTGTGCTGTAGGGAGACAAGAAGAGAACAAAGTAAAAACTAAAAAATGGGAGGGAAAGATTTTGACAGCTATGGATTATTATGGATTTGGCTCAATGGAGAAAAGGAAGCTGGAGGAAACAAAGCATATACTTACTGTCCCTGTAGTAAAGATGAAAAGGGATTTCCCACACCCCAAATGAAAGTATTTCACAAACATACACAGTACTAGAAAAATATATGTCTACCTTGTAGGTAATAGCCATCTTCAATATATAAGGTGGCAATTATATATGATACATTTGCACAAGAGTGGGAAATGGAAATGTGGTCTAGTACCTCAGAGCAAACATCCACCTGCTGATTCAACACATGCACTGAAATTTTAGTTGTCCACACTGACAGCAAATTAATTTTTCAACTTTCCAGCAAGATGAAAATTAATCAGGAAGTTTACATCTATTGCTGAGGTATAACGTTAATTTAAACAGATTAAAGTTTGCTGTATGAAAGTGAACTATAATTGGAAAAATATTTTGCTTTTAATTCTACAGAATATGTCTAAAGAGATCCTTACACTTCTTACTGACTTTTCCTTTCCACAACACTGAACATACCCTTTCAATCCCACCATAGTTCTGTTTTTTCAGTGTAGAGAGACTGAAGCCTGGGATTTTGACTTTCTTCAAAAATGCCTTATCTTTGTCAAACTGCTCCAGTGTAAGTCACCTGGAAAACTTTTTTTTTTTTGGTTAATAAAAGATTTTAGGGCTTGTCTGTCCACACTAAAGAATAGTACCACTTTATATTGGTGTAGTTAGAGCAACAAAAACTCCTAGTGTTGTTGCAGTTATACCAATATAAAAGTTCTTATCAATAGTGTTTATTCTAGATTATGAATAAAAATAAAATATATCAGTATAAATGCATCCAGACTAGGGCTATTACCACTAACTGTGTTGGGGGAGGAGAATCACACCCCTGACAGACCTTGTTATACCAGTAAAACTTTTACATTGACCAGTCCTTAGTCTATGGGCTCCATATTGGTCCCACTGAGAGTAATAGCCACACTCCAGTTGACTTTCTGGTAGCCTAATATGTCATTTAGGAATGGTAATTCATAGATAATATCTGCAGTTACATTCTGCACTTGTTTAAAAGCATATGAATTTCACCAAGCAACTTCGAACTATATGACAGTACAAGAACTAAAAGAGACCCATATAATGAAAAGAAAAAAAACCCTGCATCAGTTAACTTCTTTTGTCACAGAAAGAAGAGAAAGTACAAGTAATTTAGAGACTCGTTGTTTATTTAATACAAAGCTCACATTGCAGATCACTCATAGTAAATATCTGCATAATCTTTGTTCTTGTCTTCTCTACTTTAGATTCAGGAGTCAGTTTAAGTGAAAAAAAACATTAAGGGACATTTACCTAGAGCATTTTTTAAAGTTTAAAAATCAAAGGAGTTTTAAGATTATAAATATAGCAATGCAGAAAGTGCTTAGGGATCTAAACAGTTTTCTGCATAGTTATATTCTGATTAATAATCTAGATAGGATTACTGAAATATTAGAATCTAGAGTGTGGTTTCATTCAGACTAGAATGAATCAAGCTTTGTTCTTGTTCTGTGATTTTCATACGAGATCTGTTCAGAAAAATTCTCCAACTTCTAAGTACATAGTATTGCACACAACCTGGACATAGGGGAGAAAGCTCACTTTTCAGTTAATATTCTTTATTATTATTTGTATAAATGTTTAAGTTTATAATTTCTTTTACATTCAAATCCAGTCCTGCTCAGGCACTTTTCTGAATAGGGATGTTTAAGCTGTTCAGTCGGTCAGGTGACTCCCACTACAGAATCAAGATTATTTCAAAGCAAGCCCCTTAACACAGTTTTTATATTTTATTGTAAATTACACAGCTAATTTGACATTTCTTATAGCCAATTAGCAGCCAATGATACAATTTTCACCTTTCCTTCCCTTAATATATATATCATATTGGGCCGAGGAAAGTCAGTGTAAAATAGCTAAAAGAAAAGGTATATGATAAATTACTTCTTAGAATGATTAATAAACAGTATCTATTTATTTATTATATATGATAATACAACAGAATAAAATCAATTTTGATAATACTTTACCTGAATTTGGGGGACTACTGGATTCTTTTTCCATTTGAAGGATCAAACCAACTGAAAGGTCTGCACTGTCTTTAAGGGGTTTTTGTTTGTTTTTGTTTTATTTTTTTTCTGTTACCATGACAGCATTTATCAGCAAACTTTATAACATAAATATCATGCTCAGGGAACAAACAAGTTAGCTGAGTTGTGTTAACATCATAATTTTAAGGCTCCTAACAAGTTTTAATATTTCTTTACAAAATGAGACATTTAATACATGTCCTGTTATATCATAATGTATTAGTCTATATTTCCTGGAACTCAAGGCTAGTCTATATCTAACAAAAGGTCACAATATCAACTGAAAGCAGTGGTTACCTTAATTAGAATATTTACACTTCCTTCATCAACACAGAAGTACAATCAATTAAAACATTGTCTTCTAACACCTACCCAATCAATTAATTGACCCTTGTAAAGACAGTATAACTGCAAGTTAATTAAATGAAATAAGCAACAAAAGTTTCCACTTCTTCAGACCTAAAGAACAGATTGATTCAATTGGTTGAAAAATATACCATGCTCATAAGGATTTTTTTTCTGCCAACTTGTTTCAGGAGCTCTGATATTTGCTGTTTTTTCCTCCAGTGCCTTTAATTTATTTGTTTTGATTGAACTAAAAAGGAATCAAGCAGTCAACTATGGT